GAGTGTAGGGGGAGAGGGGTGGGGGAGGGGGGAGGGGGAGACTAGGTTGTTGCTAGAGTGACCAAGAATGTGACCAAGAAAATTCCGAAAATCCGAAAATTTTGTGCTAAACCGAACACAGGAAATATTCAATAAGAGTTTTCTTAATCCTACTAATAGTGTCTGTACGGGTGGGCTTTCTTACGCTGCCGTCGTAACCAAATTTTCTGTCATCGATAGGTTTCCATTTTTTTATGTATGGGGCTCCACTGCGCGAGGACCCTCCACTAACAATATAATAATAAATATGACTGTCAGTAATGACACCTTACCTATTGATGGTCCTAAATCTGACGAATAATAAAATTATTAATTTTATAATTATGGCGTATTAAAATTTACTTGCACTCTCTCAGTTCTTACAGCCTTTCCATTAGCAGGGATCGTAACAAGTCGTTTGGCCGACGGCAAGGGCTAATTACCTGTTACAATTTAAGTTACCGTTATTTCTATGAAAGTTAATGGCTTAATTTTTGACAAAATTGCACGATTTTTTCTCCAGATAGCTATTTTTCTCCAGCGGATCGTAGCCCTCTTCCTAGAGTGAAGCTTAAAGAAACAAAAAGAGAAAAAAGGTACATTTTGCTGATTTAACTTTGTAAGATTGACCGGAGGAAGATCAGATAGTCACTTATCCGTATTACGGACTGAGCCATAAGCCTCATAGGACCAATCAAATCTCTAGATTAGTAATCTATTAGGTCAGCATTATTGACATGCAGTTTGTGATAATTAGTACCGTACCATGTGTAAGTTTCCTGAGAAGAGAGCTAAAAATTGAAACGTGTACGTGCATTGTTGGACAATTTTAAAGTATTTTATAATTTTAGGAAAAAAGCTACTTTTGTTGGTGATGAAGCATGTTAAGAATGTTTTATGCCGAAAACGCAGCTGCGCAAAGATGAATTAGTAATTGAGTTAATTTGATAATCACAGTATCCTCGGTAATTTAAATAAATTTGGATAGCCTGCGAGAAGAAATAAGATCAATGTTTATGGCCAGTTTGTGGTCCAAGTTCGCATTGCAGAAAAATGAAGCTGGAAAACAATTTTACCGGAGAGGAAAGTCAGAAAACAGCTGGAGAATTGTATTGCTCAGAAGAACTGAAGGAGGAAAGACTCAGCGACCTTATATTTGTTTAAGTGCTAAATATTTTTCTGTCTATTACTGCATTTCTCATAGCTAAAAATTGAAACGTGTACTTGCATTGTTGGACAATTTTAAAGTATTTTATAATTTTATGAAAGAAGCTATTTTTGTTGGTGATGAAGCATGTTAAAAACGTTTTATGCCGAAAACGCAGCTGCGCAAAGATGAATTAGTAATTGAGTTAATTTGATAATCACAATATCCTCGGTAATTAAATAAATTGGGATAGTCTGCGAGAAGAAATAAAATTAATGTTTATGGCCAGGTTGCGGTCCAAGTTCGCGTTGCAGAAAAATGAAGCTAGAAAACAATTTTACCGGAGAGGAAAGTCAGAACACAGCTGGAGAATTGTATTGCTCAGGAGAACTTAGGGAGGAAAGACTCAGCGATCTTATATTTGTTTCAGTGCTAAATATTCTTCTGTCCATTACTGCATTTCTGGGAAACATTCTGATCCTAGTTGCTCTTCACAAGGGGACTTCACTCAATAAGCCGTCCAAACTCCTGTTTCGTAACCTAGCGGTAACTGATCTATGTGTTGGTGTCATTGCGCAGCCTCTATTTGTTGCTTATTTGATATCCGTCGTAACAGAGAGATGGGATATTTGCTATTACTCAGATTTGGCAAATATGATCTCTAGCATCATTTTGTGTTCAGTGTCTTTATTAACATTAACTGCAATAAGCGTGGACAGACTCCTCGCCCTGTTGTTGGGCTTAAGATACAGACATATTGTAACAATGAGAAAAGCGTATATAAGTGTAATTGTAATGTGGATTCTCTCCGCTTTCATTGGCGCAGCAAACTACTCTTTTTATTCCCTTATATTCGGCTGGTCTACGTTTATAACTATTTCTCTATGTGTAGTCATCTCAAGTCTGTGTTATGCCAAAATCTTCCTTACATTACGAGGAAGGCAATTTCATGTTCAAGATGGCGCTTTTCAAGGAAAACGGAACCAGAAAGTTCCACTGAATATAGCTCGATACAGAAAGGCAGTCTACAATGCACTATGGGTGCAGGTAACATTGCTTGTTTGTTATCTGCCGCTTTGTATAGCTATGGTCTTAAGGCCAAGTGAGATAACTTTCTCAGTTTATTACCTCGCAGAAAATATTACATTCTCTCTTCTTTTAGCAAACTCGTCATTAAACCCCTTTTTTATTGTTGGAGGATCAGAGAGGTAAGGAAAGCAGTTAAAGAGACAATCAGCCACTTTTTCTGTTCATCGAATTAGGTTTTTATTGTATTGTTAATTTCAATTTGGTTGTATAAGAAATTCATGTCTTTTTTTAGTCGGCAGTACTAGTCAAAGGCTTACTTATATTGAAGAATGAATCAAGATAATTCGATCTCTGAGCCGAAAATTGCATGAAACGTTATTTAACAACTAATAAACATAACAAATTTCGTAAAACATGCTTCTTCATCGAGTCAGTCAAATATTATCTTTAATCTCGTTGTGCTCTTACTAAGTCGGTTAATAAGGCTTACCAAATATAAAAACTAGACTGATAAAGACTCGATCGCCTTATTTTCGAAAAAATTGGCTAGCCTACCACAAGTCTTCGTCCTTTAAATACTTAGTAAGTCGTTTTTGCAACCAAGTAAGCTAAATTCTGCTCGCAAAGAGAATTACTTGTTAAGCACGATTTGTTAATTTCAATTATTTTCTAAAATAGGCCATAAATTCAAGTATAGATGTCAAAAAGATGTCATAAAGAATTTAAATTTCACATTATGGTTAGCCTAGTCTTGTTGATAAAGTCGTGTTAGCTTACTGATAGCAAAAACAAAAACAAAATTCACATATTTGAAAATAATATGGAATTTGCTAAAAATTTTTTCTTTCAAAGTACGATTTTATTAATTAATGAAAATTCGGTTCACTTTCAGCAGGTGTTCAAAGAACATCGATTCAACTTGACCTGCATTTTAACAAAGTAAATACTCAGCTTCACACAGCGTACTGACAAAAATTACAGAGAAACTAACTGCAAGACAAATTGCTAGTATCACTCAGATTTTATGGAATGATTTCATCGTCTCTTGAAGGTCTTTGTACGGTACATGTATATCGATTGATTAGTACTCAGCGAATATTATCATGTTAATTTAATATTGTGTGGGGAAAGGGAAGAATAAAAGCACGTCAAACCGTTGCCGTGGCTCTTTGATGAGTGCTTAAATCATGTGTCATTACGATGATCCTGACCATCGGCTCCTGTCCTAGCCAATTATACTTCTGATCACAGAGATCATCATTTCTGATTTTGTATTTCTAGAGAAACAGAAATGTAGTTTTTTTAACGAGTACTACAAAAAAACCGGTTAAAAATTTTCATATGTAATTACCAATTGATGTTTGTCCACCCCGCTAACAACAACTAAAGTAACTTGGACTCAACAATAGAAAACGACGGAATAGTAAACTACGGAGACGTTGCCCGCAAACTTTTTTTCCTACAAAACATTTTCTCGTTATAGATTAAAGTTAACGTGTCCTTTAGTTTTCATGTGTTAAATACTTAATACGTATTGAATGGTGTCAATTTTGACGGACATGAAGTTGACAATCAATGATGCTTTATAATTTGCATGCAGATCTCTTTCTTACACGCCTTTAGTAGGAATCGTAACAAGTCGTTTTCTAAAGTAACCATAAGATGTTTTCTATAAAAAAAAGTTACTTAGAGCTTCATTTGTGACAAAACTTCTCGGTTTTTTCTGCGTATAGACTGATCTACTTTTCTCGGGAAGGCGGAGGTCCGGTCCCAGCCGGAGTGAATCTAAAGGGGAAAAAAAAGATTCGACAAATCTCCTTGTAAGTTAGGGAACCCCTAAAGGTCGTTTTTTCCTACGGCTATAATTAAAGTTACGAAAATGGGGCTTAAAATTGCAAGAAAACTACCTGGATTGAGAATTTCCCCAAGCGCACTTTTGATGAAACGATGACAAAGTAGCAAACGAAAAGTGTATTATCGAATTGTTTTTTAAAAAAATAACGATAAATGTTGCTGATTTAACCCTATTCAGACTAGGCTTTTTTTTTGGCTTCTTGCGCTTCTTGTGAGGATGACCAGAGGACCATTAGATATTTGCTTTCACATTCCATGGCCGAAAAAACAATTACAGCTCTAGAATATTAACAATATCATCCATATAGTGACATCCAGTTTTTGATAATAAGAACCATATGTCGTTTTCTCAAGAAGAGAACTAAGAATTAATTAACGTTGAATTAATTGACGTTAATTTACAACAAGTATTTTGTAACTATGAACCAAGGAATTTAATTTGAAATTATCGGAAACATTTGTCCCCTGTCTGCAGTAATTAGTCAAAATACTAGAGATTACAAAACGTATAGTGAAAACGTTACTCATAAATATATGAATTGGTAATTGCGTTGAGTTTATTGTGGATAATCAATATCCCCCGTAATAACTTAAATACATTTGGATAGGCCGGTTGTGCCGGAGAAGAAATTTAATATGTTTATGAGCACTTACACTTTGTTTTCAAGATAGCATTTTAGATTTAAAGATATGATGGCAATACAAAAAAATTTTTCAGAAGATGAAAGCCGTAAAACATTTGCAGAACTGTATTACTCAGAGGAGGTTACGGGGAAAATATACGGCGAACTTATCTCTCTTTCAGTGCTGAATATTTTTTTGGCCATTACAGCATTTATGGGGAACACTCTGATCCTAGTTGCTCTACATAAAGAAACCTCACTTCATTCGCCGTCCAAACTCCTGTTTCGTAACCTAGCGATTACTGATCTCTGCGTTGGAATCATTATGGAACCTCTGTTTGTTGCTTATTTGGTGTCTTTGGTAAAGCAAAGATGGGATATTTGCTACGACCTAGACCATGCAGGTTTAATCATTGGCGCCATTTTGAGTTCAGTGTCTTTGTTCACATTGACTGCAATAAGCGTGGACAGACTTCTCGCCCTGTTGTCGGGCCTCAGATACAGACAAGTAGCGACTTTGAGAAAAGCTTATATAAGTGTAATTGTTATGTGGATTTTGTCCGTTCTTATTGGCGTAGCAGTCTACTATTTGGATACTGCTATACTCGACTGGTCGAGGTTTACAGCAATATCTTTATGTGTATGCATCTCATGTCTCTGTTATTCTAAAATCTTCTTTGCATTACGACGAAGCCAAATACACGTCCAAGGACAAGTAAAACGGGCAATACCACTGTACCTGGCTCGATACAGAAAGGCAGTGTACAGTGCACTGTGGGTACAGGTAACACTGGTTGTTTGTTATCTACCGTTTGGTATAGCGACAACTTTTTTACCCAAAGGTGGTGAGATTTTTTTCTTGGTTTACCTTATTACGCTTACTTTACTTCAATTAAACTCGACATTAAACCCGTTCATTTACTGCTGGAAGATCACTGAAGTAAGAAAAGCTGTGAAAGACACAATCAGAGAACTCTTCTGTTCATAGAGTTAGTTAATCAGTATATCAATATACTTAATTTCAATTTGTTTCTAATTCATCAGTCTGTTAGAGAAGCTTGGATATTGCATGGATCCCCGAGCTGAAAATTGTGTGTTATAAATACAACTAAAAAAAGAAACAGAAAAAAAAAGAAATTTGGCAAAACATTTTCGTTCATCGAGTTCTTTCACTTTAGTTGAATTCCGTGTCGAAGCTATACTCAGCCCAAAAACCAAATAAACAAACTATCTTCGAATAACGGAAGAATCTTGATAGCAGCTGTATTTCATTTGTGGCGGCCGTAGAAGAACACGAATAGTTAAAAATTTGAAATGCTAGAAGATTTTTCCTGTAGTCCGCCGTAATAGCCTGCATGAAGTGTCATAAACGGAGCCATCGATGAATCCTTTTACGGCACTTTCCTCAGCAAAAAACCAAATCAACAATTCAGTTTTGAAACAACGAAAAAATGAAACCTGATAGAAGTTGTTTTTCATTTTTGTGGCGGCAGTACAAGGACACAATCATTTTAAAACTTAACTGAAATGAAAAACCTAGAGACTAGGTTGTTGCTAGAGTGACCAAGAACGTGACAAGGAAAATTCCGAAAATCCGAAAATTTTGTGCTAAACCGAACACAGAAAATATTCAATAAGAGTTTTCTTAATCCTACTAATAGAGTCTGTACGGGTGGGCTTTCTTACGCTGACGTCGTAACCAAATTTTCTGTCATCGATAGGTTTCCATTTTTTTTATGTATGGGGCTCCACTGCGCGCGGACCCTGCACTAACAATATAATAATAAATGTGACTGTCAGTAATGACACGGTACCTATTGATGGTCCTAAATCCGACGAATAATAAAATTATTAATTTTATAATTATGGCGTATTAAAATTTACTTGCACTCTCTCAGTTCTTACAGCCTTTCCATTAGCAGGGATCGTAACAAGTCGTTTGGCCGACGGCAAGGGCTAATTACCTGTTACAATTTAAGTTACCGTTATTTCTATGAAAGTTAATGGCTAAATTTGTGACAAAATCGCTCGATTTTTTCTCCAGATAACTATTTTTCTCCAGCGGACCGTAGTCCTGTTCCTGGAGTGAAGCTTAAAGAAACAAAAAGAAAAAAAAGGTACATTTTTGCTGGTTTAACTTTGTAAGATTGACCGAAAAAAGATCAGATAGTCACTTATCCGTATTACGGACTGAGCCATTAGCCTCATAGGACCAATCAAATCTCTAGATTAGTAATCTATTA